TTCTTTCTTCTGGCCCCCCTCTCCTTCTCCCCCCCCCTGCCACATCCTTTTAGTGCAGTTTGAACTGCTGGAACCAAGAATTCTTCTGTAGGGGCTGCAGAGGACGGGTAAATTCTTGTGCTAAATACATCAGGATTTTTCGATTATTTTCTGACATGCAAAATTGCATTCTCAAGGAAACAGATGCATAGGCAAGGAAGGGACATTAGAATTAACTTTAAAAACTCCAGTGAGACATGAGTAAGCCTCATTCCTTCAGTGACTGAAACCAGCAGTTGTCTGCTCCTGCTGCTTGTAAAGCAAGTGGTTTAGTAGCTTGCTACTAAGAGTCTAGAAGCTTCTAGAAAATGAGGCTGGAACATACCAAATACATGACAAATGTATGACAGATGGTGAGACAGTGCAAGAGATTGCGTGAGAGGGTGTGCACATGAAGGAGTGTGACGGAGATTGCAAAAGAGACTGCAAGAGAGGGAGATTGAGTCCCAAACTCTTTGCAAGTTCCCTTCAGTGATTTTGAACTAGTCATCATGTATGCAAAATTCGAGTGGGGTGAATCTGGAAGAACATCTGGACTTTGGAAGGCACCTAATATTTGTCTTCATTAAAAGGGAAAGAAAAAAACCCTGTTCTGATTATGGATTTTATGACATATTTGTGATTTTTAAATAGTTTGTTATAACTGGGATACAAATGCTCATCTTGGAGGATAAACCCAGAATGTCAGGAAAAAAGTGCCTCACCATGTCTGTCCCCTTAACCAGCCAAATTCCCCACTGCCTTTTAATTATAAGGTTAAAAATCCCAAATTTTACTTTGTTGTTCATGTAATGTCAATATTCCATAATGGAAATATAATTCCATGGCTGAAACAAATAGATCTTTGTTAAAAATCGGACACTAAGAGATTAAAATATGATTGATTACTTGGGGAAATAAAGATTAACGATTCATCTAAGAATCAAAACCTTGATGCTGTTTCTTTTTTCTGTTGCTTCTATCTAAAACTAAGAGTAACCCATAGGAAAAAAGTACTCTAAATGTCACGTGTCACATAATGCAAATTTCTACATCATACTTTCGAGAATGTGGTGCTGTGTAAATCACAAAATCATTATCAATTAATTTTTCAAAAAGGAATGAACACACACTTACTCGGCAACAGCCTAGCTCCTCTGCTGTTACTATGACTGTCCCACATTTCTTCCCAGGAATTCCTCTGCAAGAAAATACAACATCACCTCAGTTACTTGATATCATTTATGAAAGTTACAGCTGACACAGATAAACACAAGAGAAGCTTTCAAGTCACAGAACTGCTGACATGCTATACAATTTCCCTTTTTGTCACTTGTCCTGTGTAAAAAAGTTGATTTATCCTAACTGAATTGGTAAATAAGTTGCATATTTATTCTACCTAGCAAGAAACAGATCAGTTTCATTTTTAAAGGAAGCAGCAGAAAAAGCTTAATGGAATGAAATGACAATACCAGAATTCTATTTTCTTACTTACTGATTTGTGAAAAGCATTCTTATGCAAATTTTCTTTAAGTAAAATACCTAAAATATATTTAAAACTATACACCAGCCTGAAATGTTTATGAAGACACATAATCATCTCACCATCATACCAGATATAGTACTTGGAACATAAATTATAATTCAGCTAGACAGCCATTAAAACCATGCTGCTAGAACACAAGAAAGCACAAAATAGATCCTTACCACAAAGAACAATACAGGAAAAGAAAAGCCACACCTAATCTGACCGTATTCAGTGTCAGCAGCCTTTTTTAGAGGAGAGAGGGAAGTGGCAGTAATAATTCAAACATTCAGATGCAACTTTTTGCATTATGCTGTATTATAAATGAGAAGTTTGCAATATCCTGACGTCTACTAGTGGGTCCATTAGCACACACCTTGGGGATTACTTGTAGATCATCTTTTTCAAAGCTAATGCTATTTATTATGCTCAATTTCAGTTCAGAATTTTAGTTTAGATCTTGAATATAATTAATGATTTGAATAAAATTACTTTCCAAGAAGACATTAAGGTAAAATTGCATTTTAAAACTGATTGTCTTTCTTTTTTTCTAAAAGAACTAGAGGGCACTCCTGTTCTTCTGTTACAACAAAATATTAATATAAAATTTACTATTGTTCTCATTTTGCTTATTAGTTTCCTTAATCTTTTTGAAATTTTGTACAATACTCTACAACTCTAAGTTAGACTTAGTTAGACTTACCAAGACTGTGGTATAATAAAGAACTGGTGAAAAATAGTTCTTAGAAGCAGATAAAAGTTTAGAAATTATGAATACAGGAGCAAATCCTGATGCAAATTTCTCCAAGCTCACTGAAACTCCTGTTTAGAAGTTGATGTTTAAGTCTATAAGGAACACACAAAGGAATGCTGCTTCTTTACTGCTGCAATCATTTGTCAGTAATCAGAGGTACACATGACTGCTCTCCTGGACCTCCTCAGTGTTACATGGTAAGCTGTATTTCCACTGAACCCACTGAATTTCACACAGAAAACAGTGGATAGGGAAACTATTCAAGGTTTTGTTGTGAAATTTTAAATGACTATTCATATACATACAAAACTTAAAGCACTCGTCTATTTAATGTGGTATGACGTAGAGTACAATACTTTAAGACCAAATCAGAGAACTTTCTTCAAATAACAGGAAAAGTAATCTGGGCATTCCAAATGTTACATGGTACAATTTGCAGTTTTATCAGCTTCTTCAAGTCATAAAGTTTTATATCTGCCACTCTTCCACAGCTCAAGAGTGAAAATTACCCATTTGAGCCTCTGTAACAATAGGATATTGAAATTGAAATCTCAGATTTTCAAAGGATGAAAAAGCTGCATCTTCTCTCTTAAACAGTACTGCTTGAAGCTTCAAAAACTTCTGAAATGTCATAGTAACAGCAGTATAGAAATCACTTAATTGGTGCTACTGCCCAACCCCAAGAGATACATATGTCTGGAATTATTACTCTGAAGGATTGGGGAAACTGGAGAGGCAATGCCCTGAAGATATTTCGATGGGTATGTATATGTAAAAAAGAAGAAATTCTTGGTTGTTGAGTAGATGTAAACACAGGATAGTAGTACCTAAAAGCACCTGGGGTAAGCTTTGGCTTCATGTACCACCAAGGTTCTTACGGACACATGCCTTATAAGGGAAGGATAATATTGCCATGATGGCTGGCACAGAGATGAAATGCTTATTGAGATTAGCACAGAATTTCTCTACAGAACAAAAAGTTCTCATTATTCAGGAACTAAAAACTCTACCAAATGACCTCTACAGTTTGTGACACTATTAAGTATGATCTTCGAATGCTTGTCTTGAGACTACAAGTATAAAAAAAGTGCTGGACCATTTGCAGACACTAAAGAGTTTGTTCTCTTACGAATTCCCTTACAAAACATTCATTAAGGAAAAAATCCTTAAGTACAAAGTCAGCACCCAGAAAAAACCTTCAGTGGTCATAGATCAGCCAAATGGTGAGACCTTTAATTAGCAATAATGTCTTCTGTGAAAATAACAAAATAATTTTAAACTGCTCCTATCACTGTATGAAAATACATTGCTTAAGAGATTCAGCATTACAGATCAGTCTTTCCAATCGCCATTGGAAATACAGACTAGTATTACCTTGGAGATCAGCATGTAAGAATTCTACCTGTTTAAATCAAGAATGCAGTGCCACTGCCCATCTTCTTTCACTTTAAGTAATAACTGGTACTGAGCTGCCATGGAATTGGTTCTATAGCACTGAAGTGACAATACAGAACTTATGTTTAGGCAACCAATTTCTCAGGGTAAATTTCTGTGGAAACCCTGAGGGTTTATGGGGTAATAGTGAAACAATCTGTATTGTGTAGCCACTGTCAACTCCAATACTCAGTGCTAGTTATCTGACACTCAGGTACAGAAAATGTGCCAGTCTAAGTGTGAATAGGGTGCAAACTGAATTAAAGAAGGTAAAATGTGAGGAAGATCTACCTTTCAGTGGGTCCTACTGGTTTGAGCTAGAACCTGCAGGTGTTCTACAACAATCACCTCTATTTGGACAGTATTTGAAGGAGCAAGTGACTTGACTGTTAGAGGAACCAAAGAGAAAACCATCAAATGGAAGGTCCTCATCAATATATGCATGTCTCTAGATAAGATACAGTGTTGAGAGTAATTATTGTCTTAGAACAAATGATTCCATGATTGAGACTCCACACCTGCATCACCTAGAGAAGTTTGAAAGGACCCTCTGAAGACCATTTGGGCTTTAACAAGGATGGAGAGGAATTGGTGATAAAGCTGGAGAAAGATGAACATTTATCTGGGAATTCAAACCTGAGAGGTTAAACAGAGCCTCCAACTTTGCAAGCTGAAATGGCAATGAGGCAGAGGAAGGAACATCTTTCTGATCATTAAAACGTTTAGTCTTATCCCTGAATTTACAGAACCTATCCCTCTGGCAGTCACAAACACAGGTAAGAGGATAGGACAAATATATAGGAAGTCCCAGTTCCAGGGTTCACATGTTTTTCTATCAATTATGTTCACAGAAAGATGACAGGAGAATGAACTTTCCAAAATAGGCCAGCTGGCTCCAGTACAGCCTCATTAGCAAGCAGTAGCACTCAGATGTGAATAACTAGCATGTAATGCTCATTAAGCTTTGCAATGTCTCTGTCTCCTCATTAAAGGGAATCCCTACAGGAATGCACTTAGTAGATTCTGAAAGAAGTATTGCTCAGTTATAAATGTGGCTAGCATCTTCTCTCTAGGAAGATAGAGCATGAAAATATCTAATTCTGAATAATGCTTGGGAAGGTGATGCTCTGTTGAGAGAAGAATAAAGCTGTGTCATTTCTGGAAGTAGATACATCTGTACCTTGTCCTTTCATGATAACACAAATGAGGCACACAAGGGCAGTCTGAGTAAATCTTACACATGGAGTTTGTCTTGCGAATTCGTTTAATGAATCTAGTAACCCAATAGGTAAAGAGAGTAAACATTACTGTTAAAATGTCAGGTTCTCCATTTCACCTGCTTTGTATGACTGGATTTATTTTCTAAGTGAAATAATCCCAAGCAAATGTTCATCTCTGTACCTGGCCAGTTTTCAAAATAAAGGGCAATGCTGAAGTATGTTCTTGAACAAAAATGCTCTTAGTCAAGGATAACAAGCCAGCACGCTTCCATTCTGGGAACAAGAGTCTTCTGTGGCAGACTGCATTGCATTCAAAGCCCTTAATAGTGCTAGAAACATAAAGGGATGTTCAGGACGCATCTGCATACCTGCCAAGACCAACTAATATTAGGTTCATGCCCCAGAGGCGTAATCTGCTGGTGCTTGCAAGGCCAATGAAACTGCAAGTCATGAAGGCAATGAAGAAAAATGTGTGTGTACATCTTCACTTTTGTACTCACCATGATGGTCAGTAGAAAGGTATTTTCCAGTCTGCCTGACATACCACTGGCAAACCCTCTGGGCTTGAGATGATCTACTTATGTTTTAATGAAGAACAAGAGTATCCTAAGGGAATTTTACCTGGTGATATACAATCTGACTTAAAGTTGGCTAGCTCATGGCAGCAATGGAGTCTTGAAACTCATGAGTCTTTTGTAAATGTCCAAAGTGGATAGATCTGAAGTTAAAACTTTGAGCCTTTATAATTTTCATTTTCAAGGAATGTCACAGCTTTCTTGAATGACAATCAGAGAATGGAATTCAAGCTTCTCAAGCTGCTTAAGTACAAAAAGTGCTACTTCAGTATAGTAGCTGATTGGGACTAAAACAGCACTGGGCATTCTCTTCTTCATACATCCACTGGCAGAGAATAGAAAAGGCAGAATGATAATGAACTTCAGAAATACCGTGAATAGAAAAAGCTCTCTGATCTCAAGCCTCGAACATCTAAATCATGTGAATGTGGACTTAACTTTGTAAAAAGAAGGGTAAATTCAAAGTAGGAACCATCCTTAGGAAGAGAAGACACACAATATTGTCAATTGAATTATTGTTATATGAATATTAAGAGACATTAAACACATGCCTATAAGCAAACAATGCTGAAATGCAGTGTAATGGTTTAATGAATTAATTAAGACAACAAATGTCTCCTAGTCACAAAGGTATCCAGACCTCAGAGTGAACAATCGACCAGGCACAGCTGTCTAGCCACAGCACTGTCAAAAGCACCAATGACAAAATAAAACCTGACAAAATAAAACTGGGAAGAGCTGATAAAAAGTCACGAACACTTTCTCATTAAGGTTAACAAATACCCACCCACACCACATATGCAAAAAGGAAGTTGTATTTCAAAACCTTTCAGGGGAACAACTGATTGGGGTCCATTTAGTAACTGCCATACAACATACCAGAAACCAGACCTGAACAATGATTGTTTATCCAAGAGAAAAATGTATTAGATAGGCCCATACAACTGTGAAATAATTACAGGACCTTTCTTCACTGGTATCTTTTCCTTTCCTATTACTCACATCAGACTTCACTTAACCTGTACCAAGTGATAACAAACTGCTGAATGGATGATGTTTAATTTACGTGTTTAAAACAAATTTCAGGAATTTTCTCAGAAAAAAAAAAAGAAGTGTAGTATGCTGAACAATTTACCACTTTTCAGAAAGAAAAAACTATAAAAGACCTTCAAGAAATCAGTAAGATTTGTTTTACTAAATATGTCAGTCTCTCCTGGGATGGGAAGTAGCAAGGGCAAGGTATTATTTGGGCTCCCCCACCTGCCATTGTGCCTCTCTTCTCCTTTGTTTGCAGAAAAGCTTTTTAGTCACGTAATCTAAAACACCTCTTCTGTTACACCACTTAACTATACTTATACTCAAGGCTATTTCCTGGACAGCCTTTTAAAAGTTTAATATCCAGAATGGGATTAAGAGGAGAATTGCAAAACACTGTTGTTCAATAACCACACTATTTCCAGAAGTAAACCATTTTGTACGATTGTATGAGAAATCTGATCAGCTGAGTCCTCATTGTTTGTTTGTGTGGGGATTACTGCAGGAGCTAGATTACAATTAGAAGTTTCCTACTGTTCCACAGTAGCCATAATCTATTAAACAGTAATTTAACACTCATAGAACCGATGCAATCAATCTTACGGTTTTAGAGGGTTGGGTTGGGTTGGGTTTTGGTTGTTGGTTTGGGTTTTTTTTTGGGGGGGAGGATTACCTTTTTTTAGTCTTGAGGTTTTTATACAATATTTATTTTATTGCAGACAACTTGTCATTAGTTATTGAAATTGAAGGACATTTTAAAAGTTAAAGTTCATCTGTAAACCTTGATGACAAGAAGAAAATTACAGAATTTTAAAGTACTTTTTTTGGGTAGCTTTTCATGCTATTTAAGGAAGTGATACAGTGAAGTAGATTACTTCTAAGATATGTTAATGTGTGCATAGATGTGTTTTTAAGTTTAAATAGTGTGTTTCTAAGAGTTTTCCTGAATTATGCTGCAGATACTGAAACCTGCCTCATCTGAAGAGTGAAATACCCTTAAAATGAAGCAGTTCCAGGGTTCACAGTCCCACCAATACAGAAAAGGAAACATGCAATGGTATTAATAGAACTGTTTATATATAGGACAATTAAGCCCCAAAAGGTACTGGTGTAGTCCTTGGGAAGAGAGAGTGAGCAGGGCAGGAAAGGTTGTGGAGGGGGCAGGGAGTATTGCTAAGGAATTGCCATGAAGACCAAGCCTGTAAATACAGTGATCAGGTGACTGAACTATATTTGGAACTTCCACAAATCCAGCAAACATGTTTTTCTTACCAACCTCAATTCTGAATATAAAGAGAATATGAATCATATTGTTAAAGGATGTTGCAGCAGTAATGATCACAGCACTGTACTGGTTTTGCATGGCAAAGTTTTGGTAGCAGAAGGGTTGCAAGGGTGGCTTCTGTGAGCAGCTGCTAGAAGCTTCCCCCTTGTCCCATAGAACCAATGCAGCTGGCTCCAAGATGGACCTGCCCCATGCCAAGGCTGAGCCCATCAGCAGTGGTGGTAGCACCTCTGGGATAACAAAGTTAAAAAGGGGAAAAAGTTACTGCGCAGGAGCAATTGCAGCCGGAGAGAGGAGTGAGTATAAGTGAAACATCCCTGCAGACACCCAGGTCAGTGCAGAAGGAGGCAGGAGGTGCTCCAGGCACCGCAGCAGAGATTCCCCTGCAGCTCGTAGTGCAGCCCATGGGAGGCAGGCTGTGCCCCTGCAGCCCATGGAGGTCCATGGGGGAGCAGATCTCCATCTGCAGCCCAGGGAGGATCCCAGGCTGAAGCAGGGGGATGCCCAAAGGAGGCTGTGACCCTGTGGGCAGCCCACATTGGAGCAGGATCCTGACAGGAGCTGTGGCCCCATGGAGAGAGGAGCCCACACTGGAGCAGCTTTGCTGCGGGACTCGTTACCCTGCAGGGGACCCACACTGGAGCAGTCTGCTCCTGAAGGACTGCACCCATGAAAGGGACCCACACTGGAGCAGCCTGCTCCTGAAGGACTGCACCCATGGAAGGGACCCACACTGGAGCAGT